GAATAACACTTAATAGTTAATACAATTGCAAAATTATTCATTAAAACTTAATCTTGTTTAATTTAATTATATCATACTTTATAATATTTTATTTAAACTTAATCTCTTGCGTAATTGAAAATTTTATAAAAAATTACAAACTCATTCCTTTCTTGCTCTCCTACAAAACCCAAAAAAAAACCCATCATAAGAAACCTAAAAAATCTCAATTATTAAGAAATAGTAAATGTTATTTATTTTAGTAATTATATATTATACAATATTTTTAAAATTTTAATTAATAATTTATAAGATTTATCATGTTTCATTTGCAAAACTTTTAAAAAATGAATAACCAAACACCAAAATTACTTTAAGTTACAATTACAATATAGTACAATTAATCACAACCACATTTACAGTTACAACTACAACACTTCATAATAATTCCAAACACACTCTTAGAGTTTGCTGTGCAACCCTAATTATTATGTCTAAATAGGCTTGTTTCCACTCATCCCAAATCCGGCCACCTTCCTCTCCTTTTGTTTAGTCATAAAGACATGTTTGGATAAAAATTGGTAAAGGAAAGGAATGGAGGAAAAAAGAAGAGAGGGAAAGGGAAGGAGAGTAAAGCATTAGTACTAACTTTATTTGAATAAATTAAAAAGGAGGAAGGAGAGGGGAGGGAAAGATTATAATTTTTTATTTAATTAAATAAATTATAGAGAATTAATTGAAATTTTATAATTTTATATATTAAAATTAAAGTTAAAATAGAAATTTTGATTATATATTTAAAAAAAAGTGAAAAGAAAAAATAGAAATAAATCAAATCCATTTGAATCTCCCCCAAATTAGAGAGATTAAAAATAAGGGATTTGGAGAGAGTCCGATACCCCTTTATCTACCTCTCTTCCTCCATCCCCCTTCTCTAATAAACTTATCTAAACAAGAGAGAGGAGTGACCTCTCCCTTACTCTTCTCCCCTTCTCCTCTAACTCCATTGATTCAAATAGAGTGTAAAAGTAATCACACTCAATTCTCATAATTTCTTGTTACTTGTTTCAGGGGTTATAATACTAAAACTTAATCTTAGAATCTTTTCTTTTACAATCAAAACTTTCTCTAAAATTTTACATATGAATCTTGAAGGTTAAAATATCAATTTGGTCCCTTAACTTTCAAATTTATATTGATATTGTCCTTTAACTTTAAAAAATATTAAAATTATCCTTAAATTTTAATTTTTAATACGAAAAAAGTCCTTCCATTAACAAAAGTGTTATGTAACTGATTATTTTGCCATAAAATTAGTTTTTCTTTAAAATACTAATTACATTTAAAAATTAAATAATCATATTTTATCATCGTGGCATATTTCTCTTTATAAGTCATATTTATACATAATCAAAATTAAAAAAACAAATTGGAATTAGAAATCAAAGTTTAAAAACTAAATTAATACTTGTCTTCAAAGTAAAAACTAAATTGGAATTATCATCAAAGTTTGAGAACTATTTTAGTATCAAAAATAAAACTTTAGAGACAATTTTGATATTTTTCAAAATTGAGTGATAATTTTGATATAAATTTAAAAGTTGAGGGACCAAATTAATATTTTAACCAATCTTGAATTCTAATGAATTTTTAATGTCTTAAGCCAAGGATGATTGATCTAAGGTAGAGGAGGGGTCTACTTTTATCTTGACCATGAGTGCTGTTCGCAGCACCATATTGTCAGTACCTATCTAAGCTTGCTGCAGTAAAAAAAAAAAAAAAGGAGAAAACGAAACAATCTAAGGCTGCAATCAATGTTTTCAAAACCGGATCGGTCATTGAACCGTTTTCAGGTTCGGTTCCCGGTTTGACCGGTTCAACCGGTTCAACCGGTGAACCGGCCGGTCCAAACAATAAAAAAGGTTTGATGAGAGGAGCAAGCTATAGGCATTGATTTTTTTATTTGGTGTTGATAATTTTGTAATTTTGTTAAAGTTAAAGGTTAAAATGGGTATAAGAAAGGAATG